TGTTTTATAATATTTAGACTCTTCTTTGTCCTTTATTTCTAAAGTTAACCTATCTGATTCTGCACATGCCATAATTTTTCTTATTATTTCTGTTTCTGGAGGTATGATTTCATTTTCCCAATATTGTGCATATAATATTCTAGCTGCCATCAATACATGTACTATTAGATACATTATTTCATTCTTAAATTTTTCTGATATTATTCCAAGAAGAAAAAATTCCAGTTTAAATGGAATATACTCTCCTACCATTTGTTCTATCCATGTTTGAATCAGTCTCCAACTTTTGAACATGAGTTGAATCAAGAAGGAAAGCTTTAAGAATCGCTTCAATGCTTTCTGGTCATATCATTGTCTATCCAAATAGGTGTCTTGGCATGTTCTTTGGAAGTATAAACCAAAGAGGATTATCTTTACTATCTGGCTAGTTCCTATAAAAGATAACACATTGAATTAGATGGATTTCTAATTTGATTAAAAACAAATCAGGTTAATGGGTTAGTGTTATGTATTAACTGAATCATTTTGCTTATATTACAGATCCTAGTTAGCACCAAGTCATAACATGGTATGATATCTGAATCTAGTCTCTGTATTAATAATCAATTATCTTAGCTCAATTAGTCAGCAATATTTTATTACATCTTCTCAATTACACTGGTTCTTTAATCTCTGAACATTCAGTCTTCCTTTTGAACTCTCTGATTCGTAGGGTTTGAATATCAAGAGTTCATCAGAATGATAAACAACAAATCCTCCCTGATTCTTTCAAATTGTATCTTCAGAAGTGTAGCATCCAAAGTGCATTTTGTGGCACCACACTTTGATATTCTCAAAGCAACAATATATGTCAAATGTTATGCCACCCTGCAGGCTGTCATATCCACATAGGAACGAAACTGAACATAGTGACAAAGTATTATTCTTATTCAAAATATTAGAATGGTTTTTCTTGAATAAATAAATATAGAAAATCACCTCAAATAGGGATAGAAAGAGAGGAAGAAAAATATTTATTTTACATCATGTGATTTCATGTTTAATTTGCATTCATGTGATATGTCCAACATCTACTAAGCCATTTTGTCCATCATTGTCATATTGTTGCGGGGGGGGGGGGGGGATCCCTAGTGAGACATCAACTATTAAAATAACTTGATTTACATTAAGATTGATAATAGTATAGGCTCTTACATAGATCCTTTTGTACTGAAGGAAACACTGCTTCCCATTTGTAAATCAAGGAAATATCTTTTCAAAAATTCAACTCTTTATTTAAGGCCATTTCAATAGAAAATGTCTATGGAGGTTCTCAGTCATCCAAATCATGGTTTTCCCAAAGCTGTTGTTCAAGAGGCAACTAGGCTTTCTTGATTTTTTCATTGAAAACATTTTGTTTTCTGATAAGTGAAATGTTTTCAGTGAAAAAAAACAAGAATGTCCAGTTGCCTTTGGGATTCCAACAGAAAACACCTAATTCCTTTGCTCTATCTCAATATTTTTTTTAAAAAATATATTTTTCAAAATAAATGCATAAATAATAATAAATGTGAAGCATAGTGAAGCATCATCTCTAGTATGTTCTTGAACCCTACATGGGAGCTGCAGAATTTTTAAGGAAGAGGTGGGTGTCTATATTTGACCACTATGCTTGGAAGTGTGTTCAGTTTCCAAGGACAATATAAGACTAAAAGTGGGGGAGAGGGGTGGGGTAGGTTGAGACAATAGACAACAACTGCACTGATAAGTATTCTCGGCATGTTTCTTCTAGGAAAGGTATGTTTTGGTACCATTTGTGTTCATCATGACATTTTGGGGTGGAAAGATAAACTTTCCCCTATGACCACAACATGTTCTTAGAATTCCTAATGTGCTCATTGCTTGCTGTGTACTAATTCCACTGCTACAACTATCAGTGTAGTTCACAAGAATATTGTCATTGCCCTGGACTACAGAGTAGTGATATGGAAGAATTGAAATGTTTTTAGACCTAGCTATATAGCTGTATATACAATATACAAGTCAATAGCTCTGGTTGGTTATGTAATCTTTCCTATAAATTGATATCAAAAAAATGTTAAAGTGGAAATGGCTGAAAGAGGACAAATTTCTGATCATGTCAGAGCAGTTGGTATAAAACCAATAAGATTTCATTGGTTTCCAAGTGATTAAAATGAGATTATTTTCATGAGATCCTTCAGTTTATTTGGTATGAAACTGTCCTGTAAAGGTTTACTGAATTTATATTGTTATATAAAATGCACTGAATAGGGAACCAATAGAACGACAGAAATGGAACACAATGTTTCCTGGGTATTTTAGAAACAGAAGTTTAGATAGAGAGAGTGCTTTAAAATCAAAAGCAAGTATTGAAGATTTAATTCTAATAAAAATCAGTACGTAAAAGGTATTGACAAAAAAGTCAAGAGGCATTGTGGAGAAGGGTCAAGTAAGGCAAGAAATGTTGTATTGCAAACTCATTCTGCCACCTTGTCTTTATAAATTTTATAAACTTATCCCGATTTCCTCCCTCCCCTAAGGTAGATTAGATAACAGTACAAATAAAATCTAAGGATTACAAATATACACTTCTCAAAAAAATAAAGGGAACACTTAAACAACACAATGTAACTCCAAGTCAATCACACTTCTGTGAAATCAAACTGTCCACTTAAGTAGCAACACTGATTGACAATCAATTTCACATGCTGTTGTGCAAATGGAATAGACAACAGGTGGAAAGCAGAGGCAATTAGCAAGACATCCCCAATAAAGGAGTGGTTCTGCAGGTGGTGACCACAGACCACTTCTCAGTTCCTATACTTTCTGGCTGATGGTTTGGTCACTTTTGAATGCTAGGGGTACTTTCACTCTTGTGGTAGCATGAGACGGAGTCTACAACCCACACAAGTGGCTCAGGTAGTGCAGCTCATCCAGGATGGCACATCAATGCGAACCATGGCAAGAAGGTTTGCTGTGTCTGTCAGCATAGTGTCCAGAGCATGGTGGCACTACCAGGAGACAGGCCAGTACATCAGGAGACGTGGAGGAGGCTGTAGGAGAACAACAACCCAGCATCAGGACTGCTACCTCCACCTTTGTGCAAGGAGGGACAGGAGGAGCACTGCCAGAGCCCTGCAAAATGACCTCTAGCGAGCCACAAATGTGCATGTGGCTGCTCAAACGGTCAGAAACAGACTCCATGAAGGTGGTATGAGGGCCCGACGTCCACAGGTGGGGATTGTGCTTACAGCCCAACACCGTGCAGGACGTTTGGCATTTGCCAGACACCAAGATTGGCAAGTTTGCCACTGGCACCCTGTGCTCTTCACAGATGAAAGCAGGTTCACACTGAGCACATGTGACAGACGTGACAGGGTCTGGAGATGCCGTGGAGAACATTCTGCTGCCTGCAACATCCTCCAGCATGACTGGTTTGGCAGTGGGTCAGTAATGGTGTGGGGTGGCATTTCTTTAGGGGGCCGCACAGCCCTCCATGTGCTCGCCAGAGGTAGCCTGACTGCCATTAGGTACCAAGATGAGATCCTCGACCCCTTGTGAGACCATATGCTGGTGCGGTTGGCCCTGGGTTCCTCCTAATGCAAGACAATGCTAGACCTCATGTGGCTGGAGTGTGTCGGCAGTTCCTGCAAGACGAAGGCATTGATGCTATGGACTGGCCCTCCCGTTACCCAGACCTGAATCCAATTGAGCACATCTGGGACATCATGTCTCGCTCCATCCACCAATGCCACGTTGCACCACAGACTGTCCAGGAGTTGGGGGATGCTTTAGTCCAGGTGTGGGAGGAGATCCCTCAGGAGACCATCCGCCACCTCATCAGGAGCATGCCCAGGCATTGTAGGGAGGTCATACAGGCACGTGGAGGCCACACACACTACTGAGCCTCATTTTGACTTGTTTTAAGGACATTACATCAAAGTTGGATCAGCCTGTAGTGTTTTTTTCCACTTTAATTTTGAGTGTAACTCCAGATCCAGACCTCCATGGGTTGCTAAATTTGATTTCCATTGATAATTTTTGTGTGATTTTGTTGTCAGCATATTCAACTATGTAATGAACAAAGTATTTAATGAGAATATTTCATTCATTCAGATCTAGGATGTCTTATTTTTGTGTTCCCTTTATTTTTTTGAGCAGTGTATTAACATAGGATGTATCTCAAATTAAATTTCATAATTTGTCTAGATAATATATGTCAATATATTTCTTCTTAATTAGTTAATATCTAATCAAACAATTTCTTAATTTACTCCACAGCTTTGTCTTCACAATGTTAAATTGACTGATCCATGCCCATTTTATATGAGATTGTTACATACGTAGTGGAACATCTGTTCCCTGAATCTCAAATGGTACAGAAAGCAATGACTGTACTAAATATAAATACTTCACTTTATGCCTGATTTAATGCATTAATATATAAAGTAATCACTTATACATGGTGAAGAAAATGTGTGCTTATCAATGTATATATGACTTCATGAAAAAACAATAGTAATGATGACGTTACTGATCATAGAAATAAATATTAGTGTGTATATATATCTATATATATGTATGTGTGTTATATATATATGTGTGTGTGTGTGTGTGTGTGTATGCATATATGTGTGTATATGTATAAATATACATGCATGTCTACATTCATATCAAATAGTACTTTATACAGTTGCATGGTCTTGAGAAGGTGCTTTGCTTCATAGAGAAGAGACCATTTGCTTTGATGTTAGTAGAGGCACAAATTGCTTTGTTCACTGTTGTGACTATGGAAGCACATCATAGGGGTGTTTTGCTTTTCCCTCCAGAAAACAAAGCATCTCTTCAAAGATCAATCCAGCCCTAATGCTCCATATATATTGCAGGATCTGCATGTGGCAATGATTATGCCATGCTATGTTCATATCTCTTTAGCTTTTTATATGACATAATTATTTCTTTTTGATATGTTGTATCTGTTTTTATTTCTGACTATTCAGGTTGAAATGAAAGATATTGGTCATGTTTACAAAATCAGAATAGGCCACGATGGATCAAGTCAATATGCAGACTGGATGTTGGAAAAGGTCAGGGTCTTGGTAAACTTTGCAATGTTTCTTAATATTATACATCACTGAATATTTATATACTAGACCAGTTTCTCCAACTCATGGCCTCCTAATATGTTGGGAGTATTGGAATTCAGGAAGTTGATATAGTACAGCTAGAAGACAATAGGTTAGCTATTTAAACAGCTAAATAGATGCTGTTTTTTTTTTAAACAAATGAGATTTGTTTAAACACGAGATTTAAAAAAATAGCCCAAGAATTATCTTGATGCAATACGAAATATCATTCATCAATTATATTATCATATAGATGCAAGCCATTTGCTGAAGACCTGGCTCTGCCAGCTGGCTTGGAGACACAATGAGGCAATATCACACTGGAGGTGATTAATGGATCAGAAACATTTCACCTTCCTACCTGTGCATCCTGCTCCCTGACTCCCCATCTTTTAACTGCAATTTTATTTTTGATTAACCTGCTCAGAGTTGCTTTGAGGTGAAATAAATGGCAAATAAATCTAATAAAGAGTGAAATAATAAACAAGTAAATATCCACACAGGTGTGGACTTTCTAAAACAAGTTCATGATTGAAATCTCGTTTTAATAATACACTCATATAGATTCTACCTCTTAAACTGGAAAAATAATTACAAGAAATAATTATTTTCTTGTAAATATATAATAGGTTGACAAAAGGGGGTGCATTAAAATAATGACTAGCTTTTGATCTTCTCTAAAAGTTAGGCAGGTCGCAGAAACTTTCAGTACTAGCCATGCCAGCTGGAATTCCCAGATACTATAGTACAGTATGTAGAGGCCCATAAGTTTCCCACTTTAGTTCTAAAGAGCTTTTACCCCAGTGCAACCATGATTCCATTTTATTGTCTTTTGCTTGTAAGACCAAGTAAATTGATTATTTCATTACAATACCTGTATTTGCTCTGCAGTACAGCTATTGGAGAAGTAGAAATAGAATGGTGTCTTGCTTGGTATCCTATGAAGAGTTGTGTTTTATTCTGAAAGCTTAATTTACAAAGAAAAACTTTTAATAAGTACTCTAATAGCAATAGTTGCTACTCAAGGACTTGTACTGTTAGAAAAAGAACACTCAAAATGGAAGTGAAAATATTTTCAGTCCAACTCTCATTATTTCAGAAATTCTGTTATTTTTCTATTTTGTTGATTCATTTTTTGTTAGTATCTGAGTCCAAGGTTCATAAGTACGGTTTCTGGATTTGAAAAGATGACCTTCATTCAAAGAAACAAGTGACTTACTGGAACATGTTTTTTTTCCTGGCATTATAGCTATTTTGTGTATATCAGCAAATGGAGCTGGGCCAATAAGGACAAAGTATTAGAACATAAAATGATCTGGTTTATTTCTGCAAAACTCTTTTTATAACAAATTGAAAATGTTCAGTTTTAAAATTAAGTTTAAAGAAGTTAAATCAGGGACTGCTTCCTGAAGCTAGCTATAAGAAAGAGATATGAATAAGTTATTGGTTATGCTAAGTTTTAATTTTACTTTCTTTTACTAATTGTGCTGCAATTGTGGCAAGACTCGGAAGTAAAAATCAACCCCACAGATTTAAGCAAATGTTTCCTGTTATTTCTTTAATAGGTAACATTACAACATCTGAAGACTGGTAGATTTTTGAAGTTTCCCACAAACAAATGGGCATCCTGGAATGAAGGGAATGGAAATACTGTCTGTGAACTTTCTGTTGCAGAAAATGGAAGAAGCCTTTATCCAAGTAATCAATCTATTTTCTTTCCAGGAAGTGCAACCAAGATAGCTGCATAATTTAAGTCCTACTCCTTTTATATATTAATCACATATACAACACACTTTAAAAAGATGCAGATCTTCAGTAATGAGATCATGGCTGCTCTCTTTATTTTTTTTATAAATACTTTTCTCCTCCAATCTTTAGTAATGAGATCATGGCTGCTCTCTTTATTTTTTTATAAATACTTTTCTCCTCCCATGGTCAATCCTGCTTTTGACAAAGAAGTATAAATATGTGAAAACAAACACAGTGTATTGTCCTATACCAAGTTAGCTTTTTAAAAAAAGTTCTAAAAATCATCTGAGACCACTGTTTCTGGCCAAAGCTTACTAAAATTCCAATTGGAGTTCTCAAGCATATACCTACAGATTAGGCATTGAACCTGAACCTCCTTTTGCCAATCCATATTCTCTACAACCACTGCAAGATTATAATTTATGCAAGAATCTTGCTTTCATAGAAGAGATTAGGTTGTCCTTTATCCACTTACCTGGAATAAGGCCCATTTATTTGGAGATGTTTAGTATTGAATAGAGAGTATAGTATTAGATGGAGTGAAATAATTTGGATCCTGTTCTCTGTACTCTGTGGAAATGGATGGGAAAGGAGTGGTAGTTCCCTTTATTCTATAACCCCAAAATGTTGTGTTTTAGGCACCATTTAAGAATTTTCTTTTTATGTTGGCTTTGCCTAGCTTTTAAAATCTGTTCTTCTCCTATGATTTGTTCCTTGCTTTTAATGGATTTTTTACATTCTGCTTTCAGTTCCATTTTTTTCTTTTGTTTTATACTATATTTGATTACATTGTAAGCCACTTTTGTATTTTTTAAAATAAAAAGAAATAGGGGAATGAGCTTTGTTTGAAAGAAAAAAAACATTTTTTTCTCTTTAGAACTAACATGCTTCACTTCTCCAATGCTTTTTCTACAAGCAGTGTATCCCTTTCCTAATGCAAAGTCATTTTGATGTTTTCCTTTTGATACCTCTTCTGGTAGTTCAATAGTTTTAAAAGTCTTTTTTCACATTTATGACTTTTTCAGTCAGATAGCAAAAGCACCAAGAAAGGTTCCTGCACATATATAGCACAGGCTGCAGGGTCTCTTCTGGCTAATGCAACTACCCAGGAAGGAAAGTTGTACCCCCTCCATTCCACAGTGAATCAAATGTGTATGAAGTGAATTGCCTTAACAAAGTCAGTTATGACTACTTTAACACAAGGATTTGACATAAGCCATGGCAATGTCCTAAGTTCCCAATATGGTGAAAATGCCAATATTTGGTGTATAAAAATGGTGTCATTTGTATGATGAAACCATGACACATATGATATCATTCTCCTCCTTTGACTCTGTGCAGTTCGTATATCTCTAATTTCAAATAACAATTATGAGACTTTATGTTAAACAAATGCTGTATTTGACAGCAATCTCAATAGTTAAATCTAACGCAAAAATTTGTTCATATTATATACATTTAAGTCATTGATTTATTTTGAGCTATGATTCTCTTTCCCTAGTTGTGAATTATCAGGTTTATGTATCTACTGGTCATCTGGAACATGCTGAAACCACTTCTTCCATTTATCTGTGCATATATGGAGAAAGAGGAGATTGTGGTTTGAGACTTCTTGCTAAATCAGACCAACCTATAAAATTTCAGAGAGGAATTGTAAGTATGCTTAAATAATACAGTCATAATACATAAACTATTTATCTATAAGTTAATTATAGAGAAACTAAATGTGAGTTTAATGCAGAACATTACATCAATTTTGAAGGAAATGGAATCAAACTTCAGACTTTTCATAATGAAAAATTATGACTCCCTTCCAACTACCATAATGAATAATAAAAAACAGGATTCTAAAAATATATTTAAAAAATATACAGCAATAAAAAAGGAAGAAAACATGCAAAAATCTTTGGGCAGAGCTTTCAATTTTAGATGCTTAAATGCAGGCATCTGGATTATAGAAAGGTGTTGAATATGAGATACCCATACTTTTGACATTAGAATAAATTGTGTTGATTACTTGGTTATTGACTACATTGTTCTTGTGGTGTTAATGTCTATTGGAAAATATTATGTACAGAGACTTATCCAAATGTGGCATAGTTGGCACCAGAATTACTAAAGTACTTCTAGGATATTATCCATAGTTCAAAAGGTTTGCAGAATCATGCTACTAAGTGACAATTTAGCATTTTGACTGCACTATTTGATGCTCTTTCTGATGCCCTTGGTCCTTCTTTTTCAGTCATTCCTAATACTTATAGTAAAATATTACATTCTTATCAGAGTATGATTTTGGTTCTAGCAAGGGTTCTAAATAGCTACTTGACAGTAAGTACAATGTTTTGTCCGACTTGCAATAACTATTGTATTGCTCATTATTGATCATCATTACTGTTCTACCTTATGTGTATCACATTATATACATTGCAACTTTTCAAGAAGCCAGATGTGAAAGGGTATTGCCCATACTAACTAGAAGCTAGAGCGCTTGAACTTCCATTATTTTAATACAGTTATCTTGAACTTCCTTGACCAGAGATTTTGGTGGTTTGATTATGATTGGGGAACAACAAATAGTTGAGGATAAGTCAACTAATTGAGGAGCGATCTATAAATATAAAGAGGTAGATAAATACTATTTCAGCACTGAGTCTATGATAATCATTGTTTATTATTGTCTGAATTAATGTATCTTCTAGATTGACATGTTTGAAATACAAGCTGTGTCACTTGGAAATCTACAGAAAGTGCTGCTATGTTGCAAGAGTGATAACCAGTTGCAGGACTGGTACTGTGAGAAAATAATCATCAGAGAATCTGAGAAAAACTCAGAAAATATTTTCATCTGTGAAAGGTTGTATTTGATTTTAAAAGAAACTTGCCAAACAATTTCTTGATTCTTAAATTGGCAATATCATGTCTTTATGTTGCCAATTATACAATTTCCTTGATTTTTACCTCAATTTCTTGCAATGACACAAGAAATAGCATTGGCTAAACAAAAAAAAAAATGTATCCAAATTTGATTCATTAGAATGACAAAATCACTGAAGATGAGAAACATTTTCCTTACCTGTTACAGATACTGTGCTTGGGCTCAACTCATGCAAATAACAAACCATTTTTACAGAGAGAATACCCAAGTTGTACTTTCAAAACTCAAAGGAAGCCCATTCTGTTTATTTTCTCTCTCCCTTAAGTCTGCCTCCTGCTATAATTTTCTTGTTTTTTATCTTCCTCTTTTGTGTGTGTGCTTTTTAAAACAATAATAATTATAAGTAATTACAAATTACACTTAAAGTCCATGGATGAATAAACCTAAAGGTGCTTAATGGTCCATTAAGATTTTATCAAACTTAGAAAGAAGCCCCCTTTTTTTGGTAGAAGGCAATCCAATGTCTCTCATATGATAGCAATGACTAAGCAAGGCAGATATAATTTTAGATGCAGCCAGTCAACGTGAGCTTACCATCCCCTAGTAAATGAGTACCCATTTTTAATTTTCATCTCCCATATATAGTGGAAGACCCAGTCTTTTCTCTAAAATAGAATGCCAAACCTTAGTCTTGTTTTCCACTTCCCAATCTATAGATGGGCATTTATTTTCTCACTTTGAAAAAGCCTGACTTAAAAATAACTGCTTCATATTTTGAACATCTATTTCATTTACTTTATTTTTATATTCATGAGGTATCTTTGTTTTAGTTCTGTTGTGAAAAGAAGTACAATATTTAGTATCTAAATAATTATGCTAGTAGAGTGATACCTTTATTAAGATCAATCATACTAACACGTGTTGACAAACTCATTGTTCTGAGTTTTCATTTCTCCAGAGTTATTTATCAGGAAGATTAGTACAAAAACAAACCTTGCTAATTTAATTTCTCCTAATAAAACTTTTTAATAACACCTTTGCTGTCTTCCTTCTCTACTCTACCTTGTCTAATGTTGTTTGAACTGGTCACTTCACCTGCTACATAGTATGACCATATCTCTAAAGCAGACATAATTCTTTGCACTTCCTGCTTTCTTTTTGCAATGGGTCTTGACTGGTGCTGTTTCCTTTCCCATACACTGTTCTTCCATTTGTGAAGATGGTGCCTATATGTTTTACATTATGAAAGCACACATGAAATATCACTGCATAGGAATCTGTATTAATCCCTGGTGTATGTACTATAAACCAGACTTTAGCAATGGTGAAGAAACCCCCCTTAAACCTCACATTTTCATGATCTTCTGGAAAAAAAAATCAAATTTCTACTTGCCAACTCTTGTGATTAAAATATATAATTTTCCCCTTTTGGAAAATTTCCCCTTTGCAAAATTTATTATAATTTTTATTACCTTTCTTTCTTGAAATTAATATCTTACCTTTGTACAATTGAATGATTACAACATGATACTGTCAAATATTTTGTGTAGATTTTTTATTATTTGTTAAAAGCTTTGCACAACATGAAAGAATTATCATCTTGTAAGTATTCTTACTGAAAAAGTCATCTCAATTAGATTGTTAGATATGGAAAGACAAAATAAATAATTTATATTTTCTTATCCCTTTCTTCCATTCATTCTTTCTTCTCTTTTTCAGATGGCTGCCATATATGTCTCAAGGAATAATCCATTCAGAAATAGAACTTTTTGTCCATGGTAAATTATATAAACTGAATTTGGAGGGAGATTGAATTTCTAAATACAATCTTATTATGGGCCTAGCACTATTTAATTACTATTGAACAAACATATTGGACTGTTCTATAAACCAGTTGCATATAAATTGGTCAATCATGAAAACCAAATACAGACATAATGATCAGGATTTGCTGAATCTCTAACTGCCTATTCTCCATACTACCATAAGGCTTCCAAATATGGAATTACAGGGAGTTAAAAGGAATTTATTTTCTGTATAATATTTGGATATTTGCAGCTCTGATTAGGTACAATAGACCCATCTTGCAGTGAGTTTGGGGAAGAATACAGTGATTATCGGCTCATCCTTCTGCCACACTGCCAGTTACATATGAAGATGCTTCATTATTTTTGTCGTCATAATGTTTCCTTCAACTTGTCACCAGTTTACCTCAGATTTAGTCTCAAATTAAGCTTTTCACATTTATAGAAATGTTTCTCCTCTTCTTACAAAGCTATGCAATACCAGTGATCTACAGTACATTTGTAGCAATTGTGGTGATGCCACAGTCAGGGACTGGGTTCTGCCCAGATCCTATTGATATCATAAGGCTGCTGTGAACAACCCAACACTCTGGCTCCTGATTTCATGATCATTTCTGCTTTTGGAAGTAGGAGAGTTCAATTCTTTCAAGCTTCTCCTGAATCAAATAACCATTTCTCGTCACTCTTTATCACACTGTTGATAAACTTAACAGTTGGTAGCTAAGGCTCAGAGGGGAAGAGAGACGGAAGAGCTGGGGCAGTGAGCCACCAGTCGAGCCACCAGTTCTACAGTCTCGTGGAGCTGATTCCCTTGTTTCTCTTACCAGAGGAATCTATGAAATTTGAGACTTGCAGCTATATAACCAAATACACACACACACACACACACACACACACACACACACACACACACCTTATCTTGCTTCTCTTGCCAATCTGCCAAGCCCCAGGCTGCCCTGTGCTTGATCCACAGCAGATGTTGCTGCCTTGTAAAGCAGAATAGCACTTCATGCTTTAGCAAGCAAAATCATCCCTATCCCCACATGGATATCAATGGGGAGTGGCATCTGTCTGATACAGCAGCAGCTGCATGGAATAGTATGAGATTTCTACTCAATGAAACAGTTGAGCACATCCTTCTTCTCCCATGCATCATTTGGCCCAGGACCAGGTTCTGACAGGTAGTCTACTCATCTGTCAAAACCAGCTTTTTCTTTTGAGAGAGCAATTGGTGTTTGTTTTTCTAACCAACAGGTGATACCAGGGAAGCCCACTAATTCCTTAAGCTGTCCTATTCCATGAATAAAATATTTATTTTCTTTGTTTGTCTTGGATGCAAATAAAATTAGTATTATTGTGTTGTCTAACTGTGTGAGAATGGCAATGGGGCTCCACATACTGTATGCTGGTATTCCTTTCATCCATTTCATGGATTGAAGGAAAGGACATTAATATATACATGAAGACCAATCCTGAAAATTATTCAAAGAACAATAGAAAGCTGGCTGCTTTTAGATTTTTCAAGTGTAGCAAGCTGGTTTGTGAAAGATATTTTTTCTTCTGCAGAAGCAGAAGAGTTAATATCAACTTAGCACCTCTTCTCTCCTTCCACATTTTATTGTAACCTGACAACTCTATTATTAACTGTACTGCTGTTTTATTTTTGGCAGAAATGCAAATAAATCATCAGTTGAAAATGCAAGAGGAAGAAAATGGTAAACTGTTCTGTTGCTTTTTCTTTTAATCAAGTTTAGAGCTAAACTGAAATGTGTGGGAGTATAGGTTCTGTGAACATCTTTGCCTCCTTTTAACAGACACATTTTCTGGAGGGAGGAACATTATGGAGAGCAATAAAGGCACTCATATTATAGTATCTCTTTCTCTACAATCCTTGTTAAGAAAGAAACTCCTGCCTTTATTTTGAATTAGTTCTCTTTCATTATCATATATCCAAACCTGTTAACTATTCACAAAGGCAGTCTATATTGAAGACACTTTTTCTTTATTCTGGCAATGTGACTTTGATCTCTCTTCCTGATGCGATTTCTCTTTGTTTGGCATTTTATCATTAGCTAAATATAAAGAGGAAAACTAGTTTTATAGCAATTTAGGCACCCATCCACAAATGGTGAACAAAGTAAATTAACCATAGTTAAAAGAATCAGATAGTATGAAGATTTTGCATACAAGAGGGAGGAAAATTTATGATCCGGTTAATTTAGATCCTTTAACTATGACCAATAAAATATTAATCCTGGTTCCTAAACAGAATAATACTTATTGTTTAACTATCAAAAGAATATTTTGAAAATGTGTATTCCAGTCAAGTATCTGATGCAAGTAGATTCTGACTAATACATTGCTAAACATTACACTTGATGATTAGCATTTTCTAAATGTATAGAAACATTTAGATCTTTTTTTTTTTGAAATGTATAGAAAAATATATTCATGATGGCATTCAGACTATAAACACTGGCACACATTTGAAAATAGTTTTAATCATGGTTCTTACTTTTGGAGCGCAAATTGTAAATGAAAGAACATATGTGAGAACACGGAGGGTTACTTAGAAATTTGGTCTCAGTCAATTCTCGCTAAAGTCAACTACTTCTCTAGCACACAGTGGTGGGATCCTGCTGAGGATGTTCCTTGGGCTATAAAAGGAAATACACTTCTAATTTCTAGTATTAGTTTGCTACGGTGGCGCAGTGATTAGAGTGCAGGCTACTTCTGCTGTTGGCTGCCTGCAATTTGGCAGTTAAAATCTCACCAGGTGAAGGTTGACTCAGCCTTCCATCCTTCTGAAGTGGGTAAAATGAGGACCCAAATTGTTGAGGGCAATATGCTGACTCTGTAAATTGCTTAAAAAGGGATGTGAAGCACTGTGAAGCGCTATATAAATCTAAGTGCTATTGCTGTTATTATAGTAGTAGGTTTCATAAATGATAGAGGGAATTACCTCTCCTACCCCCTATTAAAGCTATCAATAGAAGAAAATGATTAGGATATTATACTATCAACCCTAGCATATGTATATTTATTAATAAGTCATGTTGTGTCCCATAATAGCCTTCAAAGTGGCTTACAGTATAAACCATTAAGTAATATACTTTTATCCATATATTGAAAATACAAAAGAATGTGAGATAAGCTATTAAAAATTTTAATTACATGACACTTTAAAATGGATATCCTCCCCCCTCCCCCCAATATGTCCCGGATTTGATCACACAATTCTGTGCACGTTCTTCAAAAATAAAATCTCTTTCTACTATTTGGTATAAATTACTTCCAGGTAAATCTACACTAGAAAGCATTCTGATGTTGCATTGAAGACATTTCTATCTGCTCTTAAAACATTATTGAAGCATAACCTTAGTTCACAATATTTTACCATCCAGCCACCCCATCCCTGAGCACCTGCTTTTCCTTTTAAGCATTCGATTGTTTCCATTTCCTAGGCTTAGTGATGCATTGTTTGCAATAAAGCTCTCCAGGCACTGGGTAGTTACTGAGATAAAACTGCTCTGTCAGTGGAACTCATTTTAATTTTGTTTACCTGCAGGAGAAGATTGGAAAATCACTATAGTCACTGGAGGTTTTGAAACAGCTGGCACAACAGCAACTGTGTCCCTTTATGTTTACGGAGATAACAAGGCTTCAGGTCCTCTTATACTGGGATCTGGAAAACACCAGCTGTTTAATCCCAACAGTACAGATACATTCCAGGTACAATATGACTTCATATAAACAATGAAGAGTAGTTGAGTTATTTAAAACAGGTTTATTCTAAGGTGAATAAGTGACAGACATTTATAATACTTCTATTGTAATGATTTCAATTCATATTTCATTGTCTCAGTGGTTCATTGAAATAACATGTAACATTCCTGGAAGAACTGAGTGATTGCATATTTATGGCACCAATCATACTAAGATTAGTCACTAAGAAGATGGTTGGAGTATGGGAAGACACCAAGCTACTATTATATATCAATATTTCTTTTTCCTTTCTGATGCATATACGGCTGTTTATTTACATGCTATAAAACAGAGATTGAGTTGCACACAACCTAACCTGCTTCGAACCATTGATTTCAGGGTTTAACAGTTCAGCCTGCCAGGTAATTCTTAGGACTCTTTATTATGACCACATTAAACTCCTTGAGTTGACAGTAAAATATGCTAATATAAATTGCACTACTCCAATAAATTTTATTCTGCCTCAATGCTGAGATCATTGCAAGACGATTTAAAGGCAATGGTTGGGAGAAATCCAGATTGCTCCCCCTCCTATCCACAGTCACTTACTGTTGCAGAAAGGATTATAATGTGTGTGGTAGGGATGTATGATGGGGAAGGCTTGAAGCCTGTTCATGCTCGAAGCCTGTTACTTGGGCTTTTTCTGAATAAGGGCTTTGACAGCATCTGAAACACCACTAAACCTCATTGGAAAAAGTTGTTCAGATGACAAGTAATATCCATGGTGGGGCTTTATCATGTTAATAAATAAATAAAAATTGATACTGCTTCTCCTCCCAAAGTAATGAAACCAGTAAGAAAGTATAGTTCTGTAAATCTCTTTCTTAGCAGCAACTTCAAAAAAATTAGAACAGACTGATTTGGGACAGGTTGAATCAAAAAGAGCTAGTAGAAGTTGGCAATCCTCCCTGATTTAAATCAGCAAGGGCACCAGTCTCCTTTTCTGACCTGTCTAGCATTATTTGAACTGTTTGTTAAATATATATTTAAAAACAAGTTTAATGTTCTTCTAAAACAGCTACCATCCATCCATTATCCAAGTAATGTTTTCATGACAATGTTGTTTTCCAAATGTCTAGATAGTGTTAGCAAATATCTTTGAAGAAGCCAGGTATCCAGACTCTCCTGCAATCCAAGCCAAAAGCACCATAAACCACCACTAAGGTAGTACTTAGCCACCAAAAAGCAGCAGCTTCAGGTGACAGGTGGGGCGTGCATAAGCGCACCAACGTGCCTACCGTCCCTGTCCTATTGTTTCTCTTATTCTTCTTTTATTTTTCTTATATGTACCCATTTCATGTATTCACAACTATGTATACACTTATACTTATTATCTTGTAAACAATTGGCAAATCAAATAAATAAATAAAATAAAATAAATAAAATAGGAGTGGGGCAGAGGTTCATTCAGCAGGTTCTGACCAGTTCTGGAGAACCAGTAGCGGAATTTTTGAGTAGTTCGGAGAACCGGCAAATAGCACCTCTGACTGGAGATTTTATAGTATCCTACCCCGCCACGCCTACCTAGCCATGCCCACAGAACCGGTAGTAAAAAATTTTGAATCCCACCACTGGAGGGGGGCAAATCCAGTCTCTGGCCATATCATCAGAGAGGCTCATAGATCAACAAGGCTGGTATTATGTGAAGGGAGAAAGTTATTTTTAAACAGCTAAAGACTCATTTAGAGTGCCACCTTGCTACTTAGAGAAAGACCTCACTAATATGTTCTTTAAAAATAGTTAGAAGGACAGGAGCACACAGACATAGGTAGTATTCATTTAATGGCTAGAAGTGGGACTGACAACTCTGCATTAAGCAACATGGTCATTCAGTGAAATGACATGTGAACACACACTTGCAGGCTCACTTCCACTGTGGCCATTAAGCAAATCACCTGTAGTTGTTTAAATACAAATCATGTGGCTATGATTTACAATTCTGCTGCAGCCTTGTCCATTGACTACTTGTTGGAGGCTGGCAGTAAAGCATGAAAATCACATCACAGAGGAGACGCTGAAACAGTCAGAAGTCAGAAGTTGTAAAGTTACTTTTTCAGCAGCATTATAATTTTGAAAGACAGCTAGACAGGTCACTTGTTAAGTGGGGATTGTCTGGATTAACAAACTGAGGGCTGGTGCATTTATTTTAGTTGTTAGTCTTTAAAGCCAAAGAAAGCACAATAACTTTTTTTTCCACTCATAGCTTGGACCATAATAACTGATAATTAACCCCTAATTTTGGGACAACACTTTTATTAATCATTCTAGAAAATGTCCAGCCAGAAATCACAGCCAAGGTTCCATGTGAGATGTAGACGATGTATGTTTCTTTAAAAACCGTTCAACATTTCCATGTTTGAGGCTCATATTCAGCAGTGGGATCCTACGTGTTCCACTACCGGTTTCGATGATCGCACGTGCAGCTTTCCACACAGCAGCTGAGGCCTGCAGCGCCAATCGACTGAGAGGATTAAAGAAGATCCTATGCTTTTCTCTTCTTGATCCACTCAGCTGATCATGGGAGGCTTTTTAAACCTCTTCGGCTGAACCGGACCAAACTGGACCAAACCGGACCAATACTACCACTGCTCATATTCAGAAGAAAACTTTATATGAAGGTCTCTGTATCTTGAACAAATTTAGATCTCCTTTAAAGTATTAATCCGCTCAGAAACTTACAAATTCAGTGAGTGTTTTAGCCTGGAATTGCTAATGCTACTAAGCCATATCTCCCAGACCACTTCTTGAACTTTTAGCAAGCTTCTGGGTCACAATTTTTAGATTCACTAGTAGCTGTCCAAAATATAATCCATTTCCATTACCAGCCCAGCACAGAAGTTTCCAAGCATATCAATATGTTTCATTTTGCAACTGACTATTCATTTTCTTGGCATTTTCTTTGGAATACTTACTCAACTTTCCATTTAGAATAAAACCCTATGATTTCCTAGTGGTCCACCATCCAAGCTCATGAATAGTTTTTCAACCAAGATTGGCTAGGTAATCAGGAAGTTATCAGATATTCAACTCAACTTGAAGAAAACTTTGATCTTATTTTATTATGAAATGCATGAGTTTTCATTTTATCAAAAAATAAACCCAAAACACTTTTGCTTCCTATTAACATTCAGGACATTGGACGCAGTGGTGGGATTCTACCAGTTTCCCTACCGGTTCAGTAATCGCACACTTTGTGCATGCACAGCTTTCAACACCAGCTGAGGTTCTGCTGTGCCAATCATCTGAGAGGATAAAGAACAGAAAAGTGCAGGATGGGTGGGAGGGCGGATCCTGTGCTTTTCTCTTCTTTCTGTTCTCAGCTGATCGTCAGAGCTTTTTTTTCCTATCGGTTCAGTCCAACCGGTAGCAACTTTTGCTACCCGTTGGGCTGAACCGGGCCGAACTGTTAGCATTTCACCACTGATTTGAAGGGACAGTAGGAGACAGTGGAAGATTACATCAGATGATATCCACAGGGAAATCCACTAAAAACTAATAAAGCACACCAGTTTCATAGATAACATAGAATAAAGTATGTAGCTGCCTTTATGCCCTTAAGATGGTGGGATGGGATAATGGGAATTGTTAACCAATAAAGCTAAAAGGCACCAATATGTGGAGCTGGTGCACATAATGTAAAATATAAGACATGTAAAATAATGACAGTTAACAAAATTAAACTAGTATGCATTGTAATAGCCATTGCAACTACCAACATTACATTTACCCCCTTTCAGTAATGATTGTTTTTAAAAATTAAAACTGTCACCTTCCCCTAATCCAGGTGCAGATATTGATTAGAAGAAGACCTTGAATTTGAACTGTGAAATGAGTTCCATGGATATCTGAGAAATCAATGTCTCTGGGACTAAGTGACAAGCACAAAGTAATGGGATTTATTTCAAGAAGGAGACAATACCTCCCATTCTCAGTATTTGTCTGTTGTTTTGATTAATTGTATAGATTTAGTTCCTCCCAAAATAAAATATGTGACATGAAATATACCTTCAGTTGCAATCGGTATACATCCTTTTGGTATAGGAGATTCAGTTCTGTCATCTTTTCGTAAATCTTTAAGCTGCCTAGATAACTTTTTTAAAAAAATTGCTGCTGTGGTTCCACCCTTCAAATTTTGAAGTTTGGAAAATTTGATTGGGAACAGAGACTTGTGGAGGTCCAGAATTTGAACAGTTGTAGTATGTCTGCCTAGCTCCAAATAAGTAATAATATTCCCAGTTGTCTGTTTCCATTTAAAAGCTCAACTTCAGCAGAATCTAGTGGATGCTTAATTGTCTGAAGCTATACAGAAGTTCTTTACAGTGATATTTTTGGATGCTGAATATTGAACTTGAGACCATTTGCATGCAAAAAGCTATAAGTTTTCACTGTGATAACAAACTTTAGCCCCTAAGTAGTCAATGGAAGTAAACATATTACCAAAAGGAATTACCCAAATCAATTTCAAATTTCAAAACTAAAAACTTTGGATTTGTATTAGTTATTATGAAAAACTGTAAGAATTCATTGTTAAATAATACAGGCAATAAATGGGCCATTGCCTTGGTTCTCTGGATCTATACAAAGATCTCCCTATACGTTGCTTCTATTTTCAACATAAATGCACAAAATATATTAATAGCTTTTAGGTGCTATTATTTTGCTAACATATTCTGGATGTTCTTGATAAAGATGCAAAGTGGCTATGAATGAAAAATAATTCTATGCCCTACTTTCCCCATGTTGCAGACCTGTTAGAAATATATTTACATAAGGTACAAATATAAGAAATGTTGACAGTGATGGATGTGTAAACATCTTTATTCCTTGCAATAGTGAAATAAAATAAAAGACAGAAAGAAAATTTCTTATTGCATTGTACTGGCAGTAATATTCTTAAGGTTAGTAAGGACTGACAGAATGTCTTGAATAAGCAGTCGTTATATAGATTTCAGCTGTCTGCCCCTTCAAAACACATCACATAAGTTGGCACATCTCAGCACAATTGGCAATCTGTGCTTAAAGGTAGTTTGATAACTGGAACACTAGGTGAATTGAAGATAAAGCTTTGTCAATCGGCACAAAAATGATACCTGCCATATCCTCTGGTTGTTTTCCAATAATTTGAAAAATTGAACAAGCTAAAGATTCAGAACAGACTGTTCAGTACAGATAAATGCTTATGTACATACAGATGAATTTGTGGGTTTCATGCATTTTTTAAAAAATATGGGCAGATAGTCTGTACTAGTGGATGAAAATGTAATACAAACACTCCTACGTACTCTCAAGGAGCAGAGTGAACAGCCTTGGTGTAAAGAACACTGCTTCTTTATACACAAATCCTTAAATGTGAAATTGCTGCTGAAGGATGCCTGGTTTTTTTATGATGCAAGACCAGGAATTCTCAAAGATGATATGAAATATGGGTACAGTAATAAGGAAAAATTGCAGTGTGTCACTCAAGTGGTAATTTTCAATCTTTTCAAGGAAGGAAAGAGATTATGAGATGGATAGTTGGGAGTTGGCAGGATTTTGGGAGTGGGGAATGTTGCTGACTGTGGAAATTGGGCTGGTAGGAATTATTGAAGGGAAAAAGAGAAAGAGATCAGGTTCAGTTCCAGGAGGGATAAACAAAGCTATCAAAGGTGAGCTGTCAGCTGTGTGTTATCAGGTAGTCACATTAAGATTGTTCTTGCAGCAGATATTGTTTGAACCTATTTTCTTGGTTTCAGGGTTGTGGTCTATTAAAATGTTATCCTGTAAAAGCTGCTCACTGAGACTTTACCTTCAGTAAGGCCCATTTCTCAACTCTATCTACAGAATTCAGTGCTAACTGTAAATTTAAAGTTTTCCTGCAAAAACCCAATCAATCAGAACAGAACTGGAAGGGACTTTGGAAGTCTTCTAGTCCAACCCCCCTGATCAAGTAGGAAACCCTATATCATTTCAGACAGGTGGCTGTCCGTCTTTTCTTAAGCATCTTCAGTGATGAAGCACCCACAACTTCTGAAGGCAAGCTGTTCCGCTGGTTAATTGTCATCACTGTTAGGAAGCTTCTCCTTAATTCCAGATTTCCATCCATTGTTTCTTGTCCTGCCCTCTAATGCTTTGGAAGATAAGTTGCCCCCCTTCTCTTTGTGGCAACCTCTCAAACACTGGACTGCTGGTATCATGTCCCACCCGGTCCTTCTCTTCTCTTCTCTAGCCTAGCCAAACCCAAATCCTGCAATCCTCTTTTTCATAGGTTCCTGCTTCATACTGGAAAGAATGGATTGCCTCTCAGCTCCCAAAGATAGTAGCCCCTCTTTGAAGAGAAAGGCCAAAGACGAATGATTTGTGGGTGATCTTAGTTGCGATTTGGCCAGGGAACCAGAAGGAAGGCTATGGGGAAATGATGCTGCGTCTATACGGTTCTACACTCACTTTGGTCACCTTTGCAGGCCCTGGATGTTCTTGGTATGTGGAGGGGTCAATCAGTGAACTGTCATTCCTCAAATGCTGGGGAGCAATAACAGAAATAAAAGAGACTAGTATGATACATTACACTGATGTGGCAGTTTTCCAAAAAGAAGGTGGGAAATGCCAATTGGGGGGGACGGGACAGATAAGAAGCAACATAGTCCAAAGCTGAATGGGAGAAGAGGAAGAGAATTAGGATGGCCACTGACTAGAATATCCCATTAGGGTGTGAGCAGTGGTGGGATTCAAATAATTGAACAACCGGTTCTCTGCCCTAATGATTTCTTCCAACAACCAGTTCACCAAACTGCTCAGAAAGTTAACAACCGGTTCTCCCGAAGTGGTGCGAACTGGCAGAATCCCACCACTGGATATGGTGGTAAGGGTTTAGTTTGGCAAGACTCTGTCTATTGGATGTAAGCAAGTAAAGAACTGAATGTTGGCTGGCTTGATTGTTGGTAGATAAGAGTCACAGGAATTCAAGGTGGACTAGAGTTAGATCTCTTGTGGGCACAAAGGGACTCATAACTGATGATCCCTCCCTTGAGCTCTGCCTGGTCATCTACTGCAAAAACCTTTTCAAATAATACATGAGAAACTAATGAAGCTGGGACTTAATCAAGGAAACAAAATCAAATAATATTTTGCATTTCATCTTTAATTAGTTCAGCAGAAGGAAGTAAAGAAGCGTATAATGCTCTTCAGCTTCAGTGCATGTTTACAAGAAGTGTTTTGTGTGGTTACTTATCTGATATCCTGTCTTTGGCATAATGTATTGTAATTGAATTCAATATTAACCTTCTACATTTATAGGTTCCCCACTCCAATGTTTTCTATGTCATTTTTTTTGTCCATTCCATTGTATCTGATTTTGTACCTTGCTAGACAAGTCCCTGCAGTTTCTTGGAAAGTGTTTAACAGTGTTTTGCTATTGCCTGCTTCCTAGAGCTGAGAGAAAGTGACTGACCCAAGGTCACCCAGCTGGTTATGGGACCAGAACTCATGGTCCTCCAGTTTCTAGCTTGATGTCTTAACCACTATACTATACTGGCTCTTCATTTCATTTAACTGTGTCAAATGTTACTGCTTTGACCTTCCATAATAATATATTTGTTAAATGTATTGTTTTAGGATTAATGCAGTAAAGACAAGAAGTCTTTGATAATCTGTCACTAAATCTCGTGTTAGCACTCTGAATAAATCTATTACATTTATACTTAAGCAAAATAATCCCTAAACAGGATAGCAATGGTACTTAGGATAAAAGTATAACTAAGGCCATTAACACATTTGAACTGTACTCAGTTGGCTCAGTTTTGAATGTAAAATCTTAGTAGAATTAGATAGAATCTTCTAATCATGTGGGTTGAGTCTGTAATATTTAAAATAAATGCATAGAGGTGGTAGTAGACTTTAGAAGAAACCCTCCTATACTACCACCTCTTACAATACTAGACAACACAGTATCAACAGTAGAGACCTTCAAATTTCTAGGTTCTACTATATCACATGACCTAAAATGGACACCTAACATCAAAAACATCATCAAAAAAGCACAACAAAGAATGTTTTTTTCTGCACCAACTCAGAAAGCTCAAACTGCCCAAGGAGCTGCTGATACAGTTCTACAGAGGAATTATTGAGTCTATCATCTGCACCTCTATAACTGTCTGGTTTGGTTCTGCAACCCAACAGGAAAGACACAGGCTTCAGAGGATAATTAGGACTGCATAAAAAACAATTACTACCCACCTGCCTTCAATTGAGGACCTGTATACTGCACGAGTCAAAAAGAGGGCTGTGAAAATATTTACAGACCCCTCACATCCCGGACATAAACTGTTTCAACTCCTTTCCTCAAAACAACGCTATAGAGCGCTGCACACCAGAACAACTAGACACAAGAACAGTTTTTTCCTGAAAGCCATCACTCTGCTAAACAAATAATTCCCTCAACACTGTTCAACTATTTACAAAGTGTACACTACTATTGCTGTTAATCTTCTCACCACTCCTTATCAACCATCCCCTCCCACTTGACTGTTTCCTAGTATGATTTGATTGTTGATTGTACCCTATGACTATCATTAAGTGTTGTATGTTATGATTCTTAATTCTTAAAAAATGTACCTTTTCTTTATGTATATTGAGAGTATTTACACCAAGACAAATTCCTTGTGTGTCCAATCACACTTGGCCAATAAAGTATTCTATTCTATTCTATTCTATTCTATTCTATTCTATTCTATTCTATTCTATTCTAT